TTAATTATTGAGGTAAAAAAAGTTGTGAATAAAACAAAAAAATGAATAGTAACTGCCCTTAGTAAGGGCAACGGGTGGAAACACAAAATTCGGATTTTGCAAGGGCAACCACTATTCACGTGAATAGTAGCTAGCTGCCTTATCTCCCCCCCTTGCCATGGCTAAAGGCAAATGGGTGGAGTTGCTCCCTCACAAACAAGCTCTGGCATATGGCAGACATGGAACAAATCAAGGGTCTAACAATCCCAATGGGCACAACAACCAAAAAAAAAAAAAAAAAGGCTCACGAGTCATATATATATATTTCTCCTGGAGCGAGCTAGTATCGATAGATAATTGCAAGCCGCTTGTTGCCAAGTTGATACGTGATTCTCTATGGTTTTTGAAAAAACTAAATGTAACTTATCAATAAGAAGTCATATTGTATCGGAAAGGCTATAATGAGGGCTTAAAGTGAGGAGGTTATTTGAGGAGGTCAAATCTCACCATAAACAAATGTAAAGAAATCATGGGACTTAAATATTTTAAATGTTTCGACGGTCGGATCGGTCTCCTCAAATAACCTCCTCACTTTAACTCCTCATTGTAGAAGCTCCCCATATTGTATAGAAAGATGTTTTCAATTTGAAAGCCAATACTAAGCCCAAGCATGGATAATATTGTTTTCATCTTAACCATTCAGGTTCATACAGTGGGCTGTGTTAGGCCCAATGAACTGTAGGTGTAAGATTTTAACTCAAAATGCATCGATAATAAATCACCTACCTTTAAACTATAGATTATTGTTGTACTGATGTAGGACTTACACATCATAACTTGAATCGAGTCAACTACGCCAACACATAATTATAATTGTCTAGTTTTACATTTCAAGTACACACACATTTTCCTGCATTTTTTAAACATCTTTTTCAAAGGAGAAATCTTGAGAGCCCTACTTTCTCACCAATTTCCTGAACGTCAGTTTGAGTTTGCTGTTTATATTCCCTCAACGTGAACTGCCTATAAAGAGCTGGCTTACCGCAGCTCTTGATGACCACATCGTAGGAAGGACAGTAGAAGTAGGCCACAGAAAACCTCTCAACTTTTTGGCTGGTAACCACTCGGTGCTTGATGCTTTTGTAAATGCCATTGCTCAAGGCCTACGAACATATCATATAAAAATATGACCAGATTATACACATGGTATAAGGATATCCTTGTAAGAAAC